CCAACTGTCACGCATTTTAAATCTCTCACGTTGGCAATGGCAGCTCATCTGACTATCCAGCTCAGGCAGAGCCCTCCGAAGTATAGTGCCAGACATCGATGGTGAAGGATTTGAGAATGTTCTGATCAACGACTAATATGAACAAAACAAGTTAAATTTCAGAAATTCACAACCAGATGAGCATGTAAAATGTTGATAAATGTAAGACGTAGGAAGGATTCAATTGAAATGTATGAAACAGACACTGATGTTGCAGTCAAATGTACTCTATTAATACAACGATCTAAGTAAAACCAGGAAGTACTCTTAAATAACAAAAGACCTAATTATTAGTGTCCCGTGACATCCTAACTGATAAATTCAGTTAAAGGTGTATTGGTCTATGAAAAAAAAAAACCCTTAATATCTATAACAGGGCTTAAACACATGAATAGTTTATGACAAACTTATGAACTTGAGCATGAAGTGTATCAACAAAGATTATATTGGGAATATCAACCAGCATTTCCATGCACCCTTCCCGACTATTTTTCATCGAGAGTAGACTACAATCATGAAAACTGAGTTGAGGTCGCACGAATTTTCTTACAAAAGTTCGTACTTTTAAACACTCCACAATGTTATAACCACTCCAATGTTCATAGGCATAAATGATAAATTCATAACTCTACAAAATATAATTTTGGGGTTATTTTTCCCTGCATCTCCATCTCCAACCATTCTTATACTTTATAGTATATTTATTATTTATTATTAGTATTATATAGTCTTTGTGTAGTATTTATTCCTTTTGTTTAGCCTAATGAAACTGTAGCCTAGTTTCCATTTTGATTTATTTCGCAGTCATTATTCACATAATGTGATTACAATAGCAAAATTAACGTATGCCTGTAACAAGTTATTTCTTAAATAAACAAAAAGACAGTAACCCCGACAAGAGACAGAGACATTTTGAGATTCAACGTTTCAACTATTTGATCATTTTCAAGAATACTGATGAGAAAACTCACCCATCCATATATGTTTACAATATTTACAGAAGTATAACAGAAAGCAAATAAAAACCGACCAACCAGATTAAAATCAAAGTTATAACTAGCCAATTAAAAACGTGTCTTACATTAAGTATATCACTCATTATTGTAAATAAACAATGAATAATCAACAATTATTCAAAAATAGTATAGAAGCCTGGGAATGCTGGCTGAATGAAAGTCTCATGACATTAAATAAACAATAAGATAATTCAGTGAAATAAAATATACTTAAATAGTAGATAATGCTTTCAAGAAAAGTACATGTTACATAATTACAATTCAGAATTAAGTAAATAATGGAAGCTCCTTGGATGCTCTCAACCCAGTGTTTAAAATAGGCTTAAAACGCCTAATGGCCAAAACCTCCATAAATAAAATTTGTGACCAATTTAGAGAGCCATACAGAATTTTAGTATTATCAAATATTAAAGTTTGCTTGAGTGATGAAGTATTTACATTTTTTAGGAAAATATTATTGATTTCAATGATATGCTTAAAGTCAGGCTCCGGAGGAAAAAAATTTTTTGATATGTTGTAGAACTGATTTTTCTAAGACAGAAAGAAGTTGTTTGACTAAAAACTGGGGAACGGTGAATGAGATACAGATTTTTTAATATTTAAAAACTGGGGGAAAAAGGGGTGTAACTGCCCATTTTTACACCTTATTCCCCCAGTTTTTAAATATTAAAAAAATTGTATCTCATTCACCGTTCCCCAGTTTTTTGTCAAACAACTTTTTTCTGTCTTAGAAAAATCCGTTCTAGCCCGACTTTAAAACCCTCACATTGTTGTATGTGCTCATGAATACTGCTATCTGATTTGAGAGCATGCTCATTTATTCTTATCTGCATCTATATGTCTTTCCTATGTAACTGTACAGAAGTTATTCATAAATATACATTAGTTATTTCTTTGTCATTTATACTACTGAATGATTTAGACCAACAGCCAAGTGATTTTTCGAATTAAAGAAAACAATTGAAACCAAATTTTAATTAATTAATTTTAAAGTTGTCGGTTTAATTTTATCTGAAAAACATGGTCAACACAAAAAAAAGCTGTTGATTTAGGAGGTAAAAGTAACAAAAATCATGTGTAGCTTTATGTAATTACAAACATACAGTAAAATAATATTAAAAAATTTATAAAAAGAATTAAAACTTAGTTTGGTTACCAATATTACAATATTTTAATTAGTAGGTCAATAAAATAGTTATCACCTAGTAGTGTCATACTTCATAATTGTAATTAATTTTTTTTATAACAGGAAACATTATACTGTACTGTTAAACAATACCTTTTATATACAACATAAAACATGTTAAAAATAGTTATCACCTAGTGTCACTTCATAATTGTAATTCATTTTTTTTACAACATCAAACATTATACTGTTTAAACAATACCTTTTATTTACAGTATAAAACATGTTAAAAATAGTTATCACCTAGTGTCATACTTCATAATTGTAATTCATTTTTTTTATAACAGGAAACATTATACTGTTAAACAATACCTATTATGTACAGCATAAAACATGTTAAAAAAACGTGGTTACACACAAAAAACTAACTGTTGATTCAGGTAAGAATAACTTCACTGCACAGGGACAGCATTTTTAAGCTGACGCAATTACAAACATACGATAATGTGAAAAAAAATAGACATTTATAAAACAGAAAATGTAATCTGGTTACCAACATTGCAATTTGTTCACCACATAGTGTCATATTTCATAAATGTAAAATAAATTATTACATAATATTGTACCATTTTGTACATAAATACAAATGGTAGAAAGATTTTGAAGACAGTGATTTAAAATATCAATTAAAAGCATAGTAAAGAGAATTATATTTAAACTTCGAAAATTACATAGAAAATACATATCTGGAGGGTTAAAAAATAAATAAAACAAAATCATTATTAAATAAAAGGTAGAGATACATTAAGAGCGAGTAATATATTTTTTGAAAATTGACAGTATTATAGAGTTAGATTTAAAGCTACCTGGAAATTGATTCCATAATTTAATTGATCAGTGTACACAAAGTTTTTTCCTTGCATGTTAATGCAATTATTTTTCAACAAACGCATTCTTACCAAGGCCAAGGCTTATGGGCTATTGGATTGAAAGGCACTTTTAGGTATTGTATAAAAAAATTGACTGATAAAAATTTATCTTTTTTTTGCACCGATGAGGACGGGCTGAGCTGCTGGCTGATTGACTAATATATCTTTTTTGTATGGGCGGCTGTTAGGGCCAATATACTCTACTGCCTTCATCGGAGCTTTCAAGACTAATTGTTTCTTTTTTGAAGTTTTTTCTTCGATGTATTTTTGCACTTACTGTAATTTCCTGTTGGATAAAATAGGGAAATATGAAGTTGACTCAAATTTTTGTTAACTTAAGAATCGCATCACTATTTATAAGCATCGCAGTTGTGGTGATGAAAACTTCAGTAAAACTGAATATTATTTTCTACTTTCCAATGCAAATGCCTAAAGACAGCTAATACTGTTCATGTCAAATACAATATTTACATTATTGTTTAAAATCTTACAGTATTTTTTTATATTATTATTATTATTATTCCTCAATTTTAAAAAACCTAAAAAAAATAAAATATTTTTATGCTTATAAAGATGGATATAGTTTCCAGAGGTGGATCCAGAGATGTCCGAAAAGGGGGGTCGGGTGGGCGAAAGGGACAGCATTACTCTACAGGGTTTTTGTTTTCTAGACGCCCAAATATAACATATGAGGCTTTCAATTTTTTCTTTTTCTTACTTTCTATTTGTTTTCTTTTACTTTCCAAAAGAAGGGCAGGACTGACTCACACCCCACTCCTCCCTAAATTCTTACCTGTTATCTCAGTATTTCAGTAGTACGTAGCATAATGTATATAAATTTTATGGTCTAACAATTTCAGATTATGTCATTTCGCTTGCCGCCTGGCTCAGCTTCAAACCCTGTGCTAGATATGCATATCTTACAGGTTGCACAGTAGAAAACACATGCAGATGGAATCCATCTGATTTTCTTACAAACCTAATTGGAACATGCCTAATCTTTGGATAAAATCTCTACAAATTTTAAAAACTAACGTATTAATTGTATCTAGCTACTGAATTAAGTTTTAAGAACATTTTTTAATACAATACACGTTATAGTAGACGGAAAACAGTATCTCTGAATTTTAGTAGTACAGTTTAGTAGTACAGTTACAGTAGTATAATGCAAAGATTTTTTTTTTTTGCACACTTACAATTTGAACATACTTGATGAGAAAGATGAGAAATCCTAAGTATCTATCTATTAAAATTCATTGATGAGAATATCAATTTATTACAAGCTCTGTTAACAAGTTTAAAAAACCTTCCTTCATACAGTAATGAAAATAATAAAAGTGAATTGAGCAAGAAGTTCAAGATGACAATTATAAACATAGTCATTATTGGGGTGGATACAGGATTCGGCAGTAAGGGGTGCATGAGAGTCCACCAAAAAAAATTTGAGAATCTGGAACTCTAAGTGCCCGAAAATTGCACTCTCATACCTTAAAACTCTTACCCATAATTCATATAAACAATTATTTTCCTCAATACAATTTAGGGGATGCGATCACACCGTCTGCACCACCACCCCAGCATTATAACATATCAATAAGGTATAAAACAACGTTAGTTTTCTGATTTGAATATTGTTCTGTTTAATTACCAAAAGTTTCTTTTCTTTATGTAAAGTATTTTCAGTGGCTAATATTTGTAATAATGCTTCAAATGCATCATATCAATTAATTAAAGGTAAAGGTAGAATAACTCACAGCATACAGTATGACATGTGCTGAATTGCATATGTAGAAACTCTTTTTTGTTGTTTTGGAAACTGCACATAAAATTTAATATGTAAATAGTCTTATTTCACCTGGATGTACAACAGCAAGATGCCCAAATCGTGCTGCAATACCATATATTGCAGGTCTTTTATCACCACATTTAAACCTTTGGACAAAGGTAAAATTACTTCTGTACATTAGTATTTCTGAATTATGGCCAAGAAAAATGTTATCATGTTCATCAACACAAACAGATGAATCACAGAAAATAGAGTGCACTAGTTTGTCATTTTGATATTGGTTCATGTCTAGAATGTCTAGAAAATATCCATCACTGTTGCATATTAATAACTGAAATTTACTATTCACAGCAAGAAACCAGGGATCGAGTGTCCGTTTTTCTTCACCAACACTTGTAATATTGTTAGAATATGTGCCATCAATAAAGTAGTCTAAACGCTTATTAATTTGGTTAGAAGTAAAAACATGAACTTGATTGTCTCTCATAATAGCAGCTATTCCTTGTGGACTGCTTTTTTGAAAATGATTTTTACCAAAAGATCTTTTGAGCGCTCCATCACTTTCAAGAACAACTATTTCTTGTCTTTGACCGTCTGTCAAAAACACAGTGCCATTTGCTATGCAGCATAAGTTAACAAGTTTTCTATCTGCTTCAAGTTCACAAAACGTTTTTATATTGCCTGACAAATCGAACAAAAGAACCTGATTTGTATTATTACACGCTAGTAAGTTTTGTCCATCAGCTGTAAATGTTATATCAAAAATTGCAGCACGGCTCATAGTTTGTCCACATCCCATAACTTTTTTTTCCTTAGAGCCTTTTGGACTGACTTTAAGCTTAAATGTTTCCCATATTAGCTTTCCAAATACCTTCACCTCAACAGTCCACTCCCCTGGGGAGGCAAACTTGCATTTAATCTTATGAACATTGTTCGTCACTTTCTGATCAATAATCTTAAAGTCATCAGGATTAATGAGATCTTTAATATGGACAGTAATAGATGCCTGTTCTTGCTCAACCCTTGACTCATTACCATAAGTATCCATTAGATCTACTCTCAGTTCAATTATTTCCCCAACATCAAAGCAACGGAATAAAAGTTTATCAGTATTAAGTTTACACTGTCTGGGAACAACAGGCATATAATCTACATAAAGAGCTTTCTGTTTCCCCATGATTAATGTTAATTCATTAAAAATAACAGATACATTTTTATGTATACACTCAAAATACCCAACAGAATCTGGACAGACTCCATTAAGAGTTTCATCCAAACCTTTGACATGTAATTTCAAGTCTGCAAACCTTTCTAGGTCTTGTTCTGCATCAGCCTGCTCGATGTCTTTCTTCAGTCCACATACATTTTCTAAGATTTTCACTATAACCAACGATGTTTTTTCCAACTCTTGAATTTTACTAGCTTTTCGTTCCTCAATTTCTATTTCGCACTCTTCTAGGTAATCATCTATCTTTTTCTTCAGAGCGTTCAGATCATTTTTGGCTTGCCTTGAAGTGTCTTCTACTCTATTCTTTGCAATTCCAAGTTGCTCAAACAATCTATCTGCTTTATCTTCAACATATTCAACTTGCTTCATAATAGTACCTACAAAGAAAAGAATTAATTATTATTGTTGAAGTACCCATTACCCAACCATTATTCTTTGTTTCCAGAGTGAAAGTTAATGAGATATTTTCTCATCAGACAGTATGGAGTATCTTTATGTCAATACTGAAATCTACCCCCTTTACTAAATATTTAGAAAGTGTTTGCTAGTACTGTATTGCAAGTTCATAACCAGCTAAAAAAGTTAAAATAAAATTCAAATGCACTTAAAACCGGGGAAGCACTAGCACAGGGCGGGGAGGGAGGAAAAAGCACAATTCGTTGGGGAGAAAAAAATGTATATGCATTTTGTACATATTAGCATTAGACTTTAAAATCGATTAAATAAGCCTTTGAAACCCCTTATTTATTGTCATATTTTTTGGAACACTTTAGAGAGAATTCGAGCAACTGGGACATCAGACTCCCAATCGGGCAAATCCTGGCACCACCCCTGACTTAAAATGGTGATTATGACTGTATAATATTTATTTGCATAAACACAATGCACTTCTTCAAGCACCTGAAAAGCATCAACATCAGTCTACAAAAAAGCTAGTTATATGATATTTTTTGAAACCAACAATACAATATTTGAAACATCAAATGTTGCAACTGAGCAAAAACATGGCTCATTCAAATCAAATCTCATAATAAAAGTACTTGCTTTTAGTTTTTGATTCACTGCTACCTGTATGTTTTCTTGTGCTTGTTTTAAAATCACATTCTTTAACTGCACTTCTGGTTTGTGTAACTGAAAGAATAAAGTTAAATAAATAATTCTTTACAATATCCAGTACAAGTACCAATATACAGGATAATAAAATATACAGTTGAACTTGCCTAAGTCTAATCCAAAGTGGAACTGAAAAAAAATGTTCTAATTAAAGACTCCTCCAAATAAAGACCATCTCCAATTAAAAACAACTTTCTGTTATCCCAAATTAACAACTGTCTTCTATATTAATTGCTAGAGACCAAAGCTGCTAAAGACCATTGAAACCCTGGTCAAAAAAGTGGTTTTTAATTGGAGGGAGACCTGTAATTTGAATCATCAAAATTAATCAAAATAACTTGTACATGTCCATGAGTGAGGAGGCATTTAACCCATGTTGTTTTTTTTTTTACTTTACAAAGGAGTATTACTATACTAGTACTATATTTCTATAGTAGTACTATAGTACTGTATGTTTGACATTATTAGAACTGCAACATTACTATGGAATTCTGTGTATTGGATCCAGTGAACAAGCATATACAGACCATAAATATATGTGCTATGACCAAGAAATGTATTTTTTAAAGTATTATTAAAATCAAATGAAACCATTAAAACAGAACATGTTTGAAGCCAAGCTCCAGAGGAAACAAAAACATGTATATGTTGTACAACCGATTCAAATGGTGTTTTACGAAAAATTCAAGAATGGTTAATGAGATACAGATTTTTGAATATTTAAAGGGCATAACCATTCTTTTATCCACCTGTTTAAACATTACAGAATCTGTATTTTGTTCTTTTCAAACACTATTTTTATGTCTTAAAAAAAAATCAGTTGTACAACTTATCAAAAAATTGTTTTTCCTCCAGAGCCTGACTTTAACATCTTACCATACAGTTCAGCTATTTTTTCCCCTTTCGGACAATTTGCTGACCTTAGGTTTTTAGCAAATGTTGCTATGGTCCTTTGGTTGTCCTGGTCAACATGTATATGCTGCTCAAGATGAAGTAACAACATCCACTCATTAGAAAAATCTTCACGAATATCGTAGGCCATCTTCAGATTCGCAACCATACTACTTGTCAAATTGTTTCCAATTTCAATCATCATCAAACGAAACTTAGTGAAGCACTTTGAGTTTTTCTTGACATCATAATCTTGATAAGGATTTTCAATCAACATATCTTTACAAAATTCTGTCCATAATTTTGTTTTCCCCATCAAATTTAATATTTCATATATGATATCAACATTACCTATTTTTATGTCTTGGCTTTGTTTGAGATCATCAAATAAATCAAGGGAACTTGGCCTTTCTTTTACATTTTTTATGTGGTCAACGAGAATTAATTTGAGCTGACTTGTCTCTTCTTCCAACTTGATTTTACCAGCCAAAGTCAAAATACCATTGGTGAGAATTTCTTCAGACATTTCTACAGTTATCACTGGAAATCTATTTTAAAATTAATATTTCAAAGGTGCCTCAGATTTTTTGTCAGATCTTAATAAAAGTCATTATTTTCCAAAGTGTCGTCAATCTTTAACTAATTGCTTATTATTATTTTAATAGTTATTATTTTTAGTACAGTACGTTAATCACATTATAACAAAACCAGGCTCTGAAAGAAAAAGAAAAATGCTGATGTTGTAATTAATTTTATACTGAAGGAGTGTTCTGTGAAAACATGGGAATGGTTTAATAAAGATAAAATGTTTTTGAATACCGTATTCAAATAAAGGCCCCGGGTGTTTATTTTTTAGAAGAGTTTTTGAGTGGGTGTTTGAGAGAAGCGTTTATTTTTTTGGTGTAAAATGGATACGTAGTGTATACTCAATAAATGCCCCTTATTAATTTCTGTAAAAGTGGAACTACAACATATACTGTAATTTATATGTTATTGCTTGGTCAGACTTAATTAGGGTAACAAAACATATGTAATTCTACTGTCCATTAGAACATACTGTAAATAGAATGTGTTGAGAATGATGCTGCTTCTATTAGATTTGTTTAGTCATTTAGGGAAAGACGCTTATTTGAAGGAGGAATTTATTCCAAATAAAGCTCAATAGGGAGCATTCGGTATAAAGCGCTATATAAATCTAACTACATTACATAATTTTAGGGCAAAAAATAACTAAAATTCAACAACCACAGTCGATAACCCTTACTCAGTACATCTCACTATTTTACACAACAATTATCAGCTGTAAGATTTAAAAAAAAGCAATACAAGACAAAAATTATTTACAAGAATTGGCACGATGTATTCAACTTCCTGGCCAAGTACTTTCAACCTCCTGATTCGGTCACTGGCCATTCGTGGGAAGGGTGTACATAAAAGAGGGCCTGATCTAGTTGGTGTTGGAGCAAGCATGGGAAGCGGGTCGGACAGGCCTGCATTCCCCATTGTCTGACGCCACAACAAGGTTGATCGTCAGATCAAAAATAACAATTTGCCTAGGCCTACTTAATAACATTATTTTGATTGATTGTGGTCTAAAACTAAAAGCATTCATTAATTTGGGCCATGCTTTCATTTCAATAAGCACAGAAGAGGTAGGTTTGACCAACTTTTGAATATGTAATGACAGGAGTAAAGATAACTAGCTATAGTTATTAATGTGAAGATTTCAGGAGGCAATTGGGGGCGCTTTTTAAAATGTCTGCCAATATTAAAGAACAATTTAACAGCAGCTTATACCCTAAATAAATTTGTTTAATTTACAAAACATGAATGTAATAACTGGTGTTGACTTTTTAAACCCAAAATAACATATTTTAGGGTGGTAAGCTAACTCACTTTTGGAAATGTAAGTAAAAATTCCCCCTTATATTAGCCCTTTTCTGTTATGAAAAATGGAAAATATCACCAGAATCCTAAAAAGGTTCCAGCTTTAAAGGTAAAGCGTAAAGGTAGGAGAATAACCAATAACTTGCAGCGTCATTGTGCTGAATTACGTATGGGCGTGGTCCGTGACTACCTAGCAGCCGTAAAGAGACGCTTCATGGTAGATACATGTTCACATCATTCCACAACGACAGGGGCTGAAATGAACCATAACATCGGGGTAACCCCCTACTCTTTCGAAAGATGCAATGGGTTCTTTAAAGTGTACACGAGCCAGATGTATACACTGGACCTCCATTTTAAGTCCCTATTCGAGAAGACTTGGTTCTACCAACCGAACCATGGGCGAGGAGCGGCTACCATACCAAATAACTACCATAATTTCCATGAATAAAGGCATTAATTCATTTATTACATAATTGTCCTTTACTGTGTAACACTATGTTGAGCAATAATCTTCATGTATTGCTAATATCACTGCAATCTGAAAGACTTCGTCTTTATTATAAACAGTTCTTGGACATCCATGGGCATCACTGTCTCGATCATTTTTTGCTTCATTTGATCATTCCATCTGTTTTTACTGACCAAATCATTTACGTCTGCTTAATTTCATTCTTTAGCGATTAAATTTCCTCAAGTGCTCAAGGGTCTGCTTGCAAACATGGTGGTAGCAATGATATGTCTGTAATATTTAAATTACTAATTATTATTATTTTAGGGTAAAGGCAATACATCAAGAATTTTAATAAAGAAAAGTTAACTACTAAATTATTAATCATAATAAAAAAGAAAATCAAGATATTAAATAACTAATTATAGACAAATATTTATATTGCATTATAGCAAAGAAAATTTTATTACAGTAAAAAACACTGAATTCATTCATACATTTGTATTGCATGAAATTTCAAATTGAGATTCAATTGCTAAGAGCAGACATAAGGCACATCAATAAATACATAGTAATTAGAAAAAAAAATTTAAAAACATATATAAATAAATAAACAAAAAAGAAAAAAAATCATACAAAAAAAAAGAAAACTCATGGCATTATTGTGGTCTCTCACTCTGTCATCTTAAAAACTGCTGCGAGGGGTCGAACTCATTTGTCATCACAATTAAAGTTTAATAGGTTGGCCATATAGGGGATCGGGCTGTTTCTGTACCGCATGGTGCGGCACTTGTAGTTTTTATAATACAAATAGTACGAAGAGTCAT